ATGGCAATAACTTCACTTTTCTATTGCAACCCATTTTTCGATCGTTTTACCTCTGTTCTCCGAGTTCAAAGGCTTTAACTCGATTTCGATGTGTCGCCTGATACGGATGCGGCCTCTGCATGGTGAACTTCGTTCCCATGTCTCCGCCCGACCTACCCGCGACCGTCCATAGAGTGTGGTTTTCGTACGTTTGTTTCTCTTCAGAAACTGAATCTTCATGCGTGAAACTTTGTGTGTTGTCTCTAGTGATCACAACTGACATATTCATGTTGGGAAAGAGTGCAAGAACTTCCCTTGAACGGTTCACTTAAGTACTGAAAAGGAACATAATATCGGGATTCTGATGGTGAGAGCTTCCGTATGTTTTTTTTCCTCTATGTGAACCGAAGATAGCTGCTGTCGAAATGCCGATTTCTACCCGCCTGATCTTTCCAACTTCTAAGCACTATCTTTGAGTAGAACTATAATTTCGGAAAAATGACGAACAAGTATTGTAAAGTGGAAAACGCGCTTCAAAATGACATAAGCGGTTTCTCGAAACACTTGTACTGATCGAATTCATCGCTCAAAAAAATCTAAGATATCGTGTTACATCCAATCCATAGAGATGCTGAAGCAAAACATCTCAACAGCTTACGATTAGCTTGATGAGCGGGAGTGGCAAATGGCGCTGCTTACCACTCCGAGGATCGAATCCTGAGTCGAGCGTCGTACGGAACAACCAAGCCTTCCATCCCTCCGGGGTCGGTTAATTGGTACCAGACTTGTCTGGGAGGATAAAAACACTGAACATTGGCTGGCCCCCGCAAGTCATTGTATAGGCCACATCGCATTCAAACGCCACTACGAATGTACAAATGGAAGTAGAATGCGTGCCGCATCCCAAAAAGGGATTGATCAACGGCAAATGCTTTATCCTATATCCTTTATCTCGACCGCAGACCATTCCATTCTCTGTCGATAATTACCAATAAATATAAGGAGCAAAGAGGTGACCGGAGAAGCATAAATAATAAAGCATTTGCCGTTGATCAATCCCTTTTTGGGATGCGGCACGCATTCTACTTCCATTTGTACATTCGTAGTGGCGTTTGAATGCGATGTGGCCTATACAATGACTTGCGGGGGCCAGCCGATGTACAAGTCAGTGTTTTTATCCTCCCAGACAAGTCTGGTACCAATTAACCGACCCCGGAGGGATGGAAGGCTTGGTTGGCCCGGGCGACTCACGACCCAGGATTTGATCCCCGGACCGCTCGCGTGGTAAGCGTGCCACTTGCCACTACACCACTTCCGCCCTAAAGCGGAGGAAAAAGCAGGTTAAAAGGAAGCGAATTAAAAAGGCACTGTAGATGGAAGCAAAGAAAGAGAGCAGAGTCGAATAGAGCCGAAAAAAAAACATTAGCGAGGCGTATCTAACTCCCAGCCCCTTCGCATTGTTAACATAATGCCCTATAACAATGCCAGCCCTCGTAGCTAAACGAAAGTGCAAACCTCGTCTTATGTTTCTACATATAGCAATAATGACTAATCTTTGTTCCTTTCAGCCATTCACAAATTCCTTCTATGCAACATCAATCCCTTTTGCGAGTTCCCCTCAATGCCCACCCACATTTTCTCATGAGCCAATAGAGAAAACCAAATGGATACATTCTGCGGTCCGAATAAGTGCCTTCCGTTATTGCCGACTTACTTACATTTCGCATCACGTGGCATCAAAACATCATATCAAAAAGCATATGCGATATCGAAATTTTCCAACCGAAGCTGCAGTTATGACCTCCTCCCCCCCCGACCCTTCAAGAATAGAAGATGCATGGAGGATTGAAGCGCTAACATTTGGCTTTGATCAGTTCCTTTTCGAGATGCGCCATGCATCCCACTTTTATCCAGAATCGTAGTGACATCTTGAATGCGATTTGGCCTACAATGATTTGACAGGCGAGCCATGTAAAGTCAGTGCTTTTGTCCTCCAAACCCGTCACATTTGACCGACCATGGAGGAATGGAAGGCCTGGGCCGAATGATCAGGATTCGAAACCTCGAACTGAGCGCGTGGCACTAAATAACGCCGCCTGCCACTACTCCAATTCTCCCCAGAACTGTACATGTGAATAAACAAAATGGTCCAATTTACTATGACTGGAATTTTTCGAAATCCCACCCCCACCACCATCATCAACCAAAACAAATAGAGAAAATAAAGTAATCAGCCTGATTACCCCTTTCAAAATGCGCCATGCACTCCTAATAGTGACTTACAATCAAAAGCAGCAATCACGCTAAGAGTAGTGTAAACGATAAGATTATGTGTAGTCGACCAGCTCGCATGGGCAGCACGGTCAGTCCAGCAGGGTTTCGATATAGTAATGCGATTGCCTAAGGTCCACAAGACCGTATTCAAGTCAAAGTTACTAGATGGTTCAAAATCTTAAGAAACTGGACCTATATGACCATACTGCTTCATTTGCGTCGGTACTTGCCAACAGTTAGACATCGCACGCTATCGAGCACAACACGATTTTTGACGATTTGGAACGGTGGAAGGGGTGACCGAAATTCCCAAAAGCTCCGCTCACCATGAGTGTCTGACATCCCCTCCTTCTTTACTCTCCGCCGATTTAGTCCCGATTTCTGAGCGTCTAGGAAACGAAATATAAGATTTTGATTCTGGTATTCGGTATTGGTCAGCGGAAAAAAAGGGAACTGAAACCCTTGTTAATCTAAGAAGATTATGCTGCTTATGCTAATCGAATTGCACAACACTTACGAGTCAAAATTTAAACCTAAAAACCTTAAAGACTTTCAAAATACCTGCACAATTCGAAAAAAGACACTATGCTGCTAAAAAAAAACTCGGAAGTCGGAAATCGGAAAAAGGTGGGAGAACATCAGAATAGTGTCAGCTTTGTAAACGAAAATGCTCAGTGTAGAAAAAATCGTGTTCTGTTGTGCAGCAGTGTTTCAACGCGACCTAGCGGAGAAAAGCGAGTAAGAAAACGGATACTGCAACCTGAGCCTTTCGTTAAGATCGCATAACAACGGAAACTGAAGAACCATTACTCAGTTTCAATCCATAAGACCCTCCCCGATTGCAATTGCCTTTTCCCATTCTTTGGATACTACACATATCAGTTATACCATAAGAAGCGACCGCACTCGCAGCCAGTGCCAATTCATCCCACAGTATGTAGGCCAATTCATCCACTGTGGCCAACAAAAGGCCTACAAAAGTTATTATAAGTCTTGGTTGGAAGCATAGCAACTACACTCCCGTATGCAGGACATTTCATTAACACTGCCAACAAATTAAGCCCGCCTTTTTCGCTGGGGTTATTATTTTTGAGCGCTTAGCGCATCAGTACTTTCCTCACATTCCTAAAAATGAACTTGTCAAATTTCACAGCTCCTTGTTAGCTTTCCATCTCCAATCCCAAGGGCTGCTACTCTTCCTCTGAGCGAGGCAAGACATTCTCAGGTATAGGTCAGTCGTGTCCTTGGCGAGCACCGGGTCTACGGCAGAGTCAACCCTGCGTTGCGCAGTTCTCAACGGCCACGTTGCGCAGTTTCGCCCGATTAGACACGTTCTCTCGCGCGAACATTCACACTCGCATGCTCGAGCCGTCTGCGTCTCCGCCCATTCGTTGAGGATCTTCGTAATGGTATACGAAGATC